CCAGTAATTTAGAAAATTGTGAAATACTCAGACCGGCCCGTCTGGCACCAAAGATGCCACGCTCAAAATTGCTTAAATCACCTCTCTTTCCCATTCTGACATTCAGTTTGGAGTTCAGGAGATTGTCTTGACCAGGACCACACCCCTAAATGCATTGAAGCAACTGCCATGTGATTGGTTGATTAGACAATTGCATTAATGAGAAATTGAACAGGTGTTCCTAATAATCCTTTAGGTGAGTGTATATACTGTATATATATTTGACAGTAGTTTCCATCTCACTTTTTATTTTGAATTTTCAGTGAAAATAAATATCTTTCTTAGACAAACACACAAAATTTTTGTGTTATATGTAATGTTTTTTTCTGGTAAACTAGTCACACACAGACTTCATGGGGAAAAAAAAAGAGATTCATTTGTTGTACAAATAATTACATACATAAATACAGACAGACATTGTTCCTGCTGTAACTGAAACACATAGTGTTACATTGCAACATTTATACATTTTCACTGCACTGTAAAGGTTCTTTTGAAAATTGTTTCATTTCCATAGAAAGTTGTTGGCTTGTGTCCCAGTCAATTGTAAACCATGCCTGGACCCTATTCTAAACATCAATTTACAGTATCTGAAACCAGGATTTCCAAATTTGAACCTTTTAATATTTCACTGGCAACCATCCTTTGTAATATATCATCTGACATGTATCTGAAGTAGTGAATAAACTGTTGTGCTATCACTGTTGTGCATTTTTGGTGAAAATACATACATTTTAAAACATTCACACATCCCAGACATTTTGTACTTAAAATTTCGTTTCTACACTGAGAGTAACAATACAGTTTGATATCATAATGAGCTGATTTCTTGGCAGCAAGAAGATGCTGTCCAATTTTCCTACAACCAAACAATACTGATTGTCATGAATGATTGTGCTAGCATCATGAACACAGCTGTAATTTCTTTCATTGTTATTAAAGTCAGTATAAAATATTGACATACTGGCTAAAAGTAGAGTATATAAAAGCCACTGCCATTTGTTATTCTAAATATATATATGACCTCTCAGCTTTGTACATGCATCTCAACAAGATAAAAATGGTTTCTTTCATACTTTGTCATTTCCTCAAACATGATTTTTATACAAATACACACACTGACCCCTCCTATTCACATATAAATGGCAGAATTTATCATAGTTTTATCTTTATGAATTTATAACTGAAGTGATATTGCAATATACAAAATAATATTGGCACTAATACAAAATGCCAATGAATACACAATGGAAAAATATCACTATTGCAGGATTCTGCACAAATCCTATTCCATTTATGTAATTTTTTCACATTTAAAATATCAGTATAAACAAATGGATTTGACTTGTTTTAAAGTTGATAGAGCAACACGTGGGTTCATCTGAAAACCTGCTACCTCTGTCAATATTAGGACTGAAAGAAACACTTTTGGTGAACTGTTTACCATTTTGCTTCAAATATAAATTAAACACAAAAATTCACTAAATCTCACTATCAATTTATATGCATTCAAGACTTTTTCTGGCAACGGAATCATTGACATACGTTAATTTGAGCAATATTTATGGACACCAGCCATAGCAATAGCAAGCCATAACAAGTGTGTGCATTTATATATATATATATATACACACACACACACACACACACACACACACTACTGGTCAAAAGTTTTAGAACACCCCAATTTTCCCAGTCAGTGCTTGAAGTGGGAAAAAATAAGTGCAGGAACTCTAATTTTCTGACATTTGACATTTGTGCGGTGAATTGTCAACCAGGATGTGTTGGTTCAAAAACTATTTTAATTTAATCATTCTTCCAAGCAATAACCTACAGTATAGGCATAGGCTACTTTTTTCTAATTCACAAATGGAATACTGAAAAACCATTAAAACAACATGAACCAGACCAGTGTGATACTTGTAGGCCTAACAATAGACTAGGGCTACAGCTGATGCGATTGGTTGGGACTCAGTGGATGCATATGATAGGGCACTGTCGTGGCTCGTGGGTAATGTAGTCTTTTATCGGTCTTGTGATATTGTCTATTCTCGGGCCACTGTCGCTGCGTCGGATCAGTTTCAGTAAGTACCGGAACGCAGAAAAAAGTGGCAGAACCCAAAAGATGAAAATACAGAAGTTCCGGAACTGCGTTCCGCTGCGTTCCGGCCCACTTCAAGCACTGTTCCCAGTTATTTATTGCAATTCAAGTAGTTCAAGTCCAATGAATAGCTTGAAATGGTACAAAGGTAAGTGGTGAACTGCCAGAGGTTAAAAAAAGGTAAGTTTGCCTTGTACATTTGTACAATGCCTTGTAATGTACATGTCAGAATTATACAAAAAGACCTTTTTCAGGGAACACAAAATGGGTTAACAATTTAAAGCTGTTCTGCAGCAATGGAGGTTGATCAAGCCTTGAAAGCTGGTGCTACTAATTCCCACAGGTGTTCCAACTTTTCTGGATTACTTACAAACCCCTCTGTCTGCATAAAAGGCAGTGTTGGAACACACAGTGGTACCATACCCTTTTGAGCATCAGTTGAACAGTATTGTACCTGCAGAAAGTAGTGTGTTGCTACAAAAATGGTGAGAAAAAGGCAATTAACAATGGATGAGAGACAGACAACCATAACACTTAAAAATGTAGGTCTTTCCTACAGAGAAATTGCAAAGAAAGGTGTCAGTGAGCACAGTTTCCTTCACCATCAAAAGGCACTCAGAAACTAGGGCAAAATCTGACAGGAAGAGGTCTGGCAGACCCAAAGCCACAACTGCATCAGAGGACAAGTTTCTGAGTTAACAGGTTGCGTGATAGGTGGCTCACAGGACCACAGCTTCAAGCACAGCTTAATAGTGGTCGTAGTAAGCAAGTCTTCTGTGAAGAGAAGACATCGAGCTGCAGGTTTGACAGGATGAGTTGCAGCAAGAAAACCATTGTTAAGACATCAGAATAAGACAAAGAGGCTTGCCTGGGCCATGAAACACTGGCATTGGACTACTGAAGTCTGGAAGAATGTATTATGGACTGATGAATCCAAATTTGAAATCTTCAGTATATTGCAATATCACTTCAGTTCATCTTAGTACACCGTCGAGTAGGCGAAAGGATGATTCCACAGTGTGTGGCATCAACTGTCAAACATGGAGGAGGAAGTGTGATGGTCTGGGGCTGTTTTGCTGGATCCAGGGTCAGTGACTTGTACAGGGAGAGGCACCCTGAACCAAAACGGCTACAGCATTCTGCAGCGCCATGCAATACCCTCTGGTATGCGCCTAGTTGGTCAGGGGTTCATCTTACAGCATGATAATGACCCAAAACATAAGTCCAAGCTATGCCAGAACTACATCAGGAAAAAAGAACAAGATGGTAAGCTTGAATACATGGAGTGGCCAGCAGAGTCTCCAGACTTAAACCCCATCAAGCTGGTTTGGGATGAACTGGACAAGAGAGTGAAAGCAAACCAACCTACAAGTGCCACACATTTATGGGAACTTCTGCAACAGATATGGGAAGAACTTTCTGAAGAATATTTGATTTCTATTGTAGAAAGAATGCCACAAGTGTGTTCAGCTGTTATATCTCCCAAAGGTGGCTACTTTGATGAGTCAAAAGTTTAGAATACATTTTGGTCTATAAATTGATACCATGATTTCTTCTTTAACTCCAATTGCTTATTTGTACTATGCTCTCATTTGAGTGCAATGAGACATTAAACTGCATAATTTTCAATAAAAAAAAATTGGGGTGTTCTAAAACTTTTGACTGGTAGTGCGTGTGGGTGTGTGTGTGTGTGTGTGTGTGTGTATATATATATATATATATAGAAATAGGAAAACCAATAAATAACTGTTGAGGTCTGCAAATAGTATTTATTTATATGGCAGAGATTTTAAGTGGCTTTTCCTTAAAAGGTAAATTGTATAAAAAGACATTTTTTCCATATATGCACATTTATTACAAAATTATACCCAGTATACTTTTTTTTAATACCACCATGCAGCTTTAGGCAATGCAGGGAAAAATTTACACACAGCGAAGTGTTCTAACTGAAATGCACATTCAAGGATGATTGTGAGGCTGACACTAAATTTAGATTTCTATGCATTTCTCCACCTTCAGCTGGTCAATGATGTGTTCTTATATATTTTCTAACCAGAGGAACCGGAAGATAAATTGGGAAGCATAACATGCAATTCCCAATGTCACCAGTTTCCTCTGAATACACTGTTTACATTTACACAGGTTTCCAAGGTTAAAGGTTTGGAGAATATTGTATCATTGTATGGATGAAAACGTTAAATGATTCCTAAAAAAGCTGCATCTCTCTAAAATTAGGTCAGACAAGGTTTGATTTATATAAAATCTAACTTCTTTGACAAGCTTGTTTGCATGTCCTGATAATCTTTTTTTATTATGAGCAAAAGCAATGACAAGTGTGGAAAAAAAACAGGAAATTAGGGTATGGTGGCTCATTGGACATTCCCTGTTCCATCTCCAAAGTTGTGGTTTAAAAGAAGTAGTTTCAATCATACCAAATCGTACTGTACTTCAAGGTGTTGGTTTAACTGGCGTAAAAATTGGTACCAGCGCTGAATGATATCACAACTCGAGGCAGGGTATTTTGAATTGAATTTGAAGAATGGCTGTAGTATATTATATGGCTTGGCGGCGTGCAATATTATTACTGACATCGCATGTCATGCACATAGAATTCCTACATCGCTAAATAAGGTTTTTTCTTACTTTCAGTTCTGTACAGACATTAAGGGGGTTACAGTTTGACTAAAATATTTTTATTCTGTTACTCCCTCAGGGAAAAAAAACAGCAAGCTTTGCAATTTTTATTATTATTCCTTTTATAGATTCTTATATGTTTAAAAGAGGTAAGAGAGTTAAGAGTTTAGATTTATATCTGCTGTTTTACATGAGAGCTGCATGTGTTCTCCGAGACAAACTTAATCATTTTCATCCTTGCCATTTACATCACTCGAAGACGGGTTTGTGAGAAATTTATGAACTCCTTTTTTGTTTTAGAAATACCCCAATATTTATTACAACAAAATCACATCGCTAGGATAGCATATTATATGCGCACTGTATTAGTATATTAAACAAAATGCTTTTTCATTTCTTGTCATGCTGTCCAAACTGAAGTGGTGGCTCCGAGGCTAGAGGTTGCTGGTTCAAATCCTGTGAATGCCTGGAGTGATTCTACACCAGTGGGCCCTTGAGCAAGGCGCTTAACCTGCAATTTCTTCATCCTGAGTATGATGTTAATCTAAATCCAGCAGCATAGGCACTCCAGCCACTGGAAAAAAAACACTCATGCTGGTCCATTCAGACTAGTGTGGTGCTGAGGTACAGTATTGCCCACTGCATGGCTACACTCAGGTTCTCATGGTTTGTCATGTGATGGGTGTGGCAATGCACTGTAATCAATGCATGCTCCTTACCTCATCCAGATCTTTTTGATGCATATGTTCTTACAACCTTTTTAACTTTATCATTATTTTCAGAGTTCGCAACTGTTGTCAATGGGGCGTTTGTATTGTGTGTCAGCGGCAGACTAGTTGCATAACCAATTGACAAAGAAAGTATTTCAAGTCCCACCCCAAAGTACCGAAGTACCAAAGAAGTACCCCAGCTGGTTTGGCACTTTCAGTACTGGAACGTTGGTACTGGTACTTGACCGGAAGTCAAGGAAAAAGCAAAAGTACCGAAAGTACAGCACTTGGTGCAGTGGAAAAGCACCCTAAAATTACTCAGGGTAAATGATGATTGCTGGGTGACCTATGTTTTTGTACCCTACCTCGTTCCCTGTGGTTTCTGGGATAGTAGTAGCAGGCTTACTGTCAAAAAAAAGACTTTGAATTGAAAACCCCATACAACCCTTATGTGAACTAAATACACTACCCATTTCCAGTAAATGGAAAGACTTTTGTCTACAGTGAAAACTGAGATATAGGAAACTGAAATTGTAATTTTAAAACCAAGATTAATACAAAAACAAATGCCACAGGGTCATACAAAATTAATTTAAGACAAAGACTGAATTAGACAAGTACATGTAGTTTGAAAATTTAGTTAAAGGGAAACGTTTTGGAAATCTGTAAAATTTGACCACCAGATGGAACTATCCTAAATATGACCACTAGATGGTACTAAAAACTATTGAACAAGGTTTCTGTGACTGGAAATATTTATCTTAATGGTTTTGCTTACTTGCTAAAGGATTTTATATAAAAAGGAATATATATAATTTTCCATTTAACCAGTTCATGAATTCATTCTTCAGTAAACCTTACCTTTCCTTATATTTTAAAGATGAACATAGCTGGTATCTTTCTCCTGCTTATTAGACCATTAACAGTCATGCATAAAATCCATTTAAACTTATTATTACTTTACACTTATCTACCTAAACACCCACAATCCTAGGACAAGCAAAATATCAATTTTTAATATTTACCTGTTTATCCAACATAAGACACTATTTAGCACAACATGCACAACTTTTACAACTTAAGTATTACATAACCATACACAAAACAGTGCAATTTACCATTTGCAAATGCTAGCAAATGGGAATGAAAATCACATATTAATCTTATCGTTGCTTTTGCTACCTGTTTGACATTCTTGTAACTTTTGTGTTCAATATTTCCTTCTAAAATTCATGTCCCTTTTTCTCTGAAACTGAACCATGACAATGTGATTGCCTCACGTGACATTCTATCAATAAACTTTCTTTTTCCCCACAACTTTTCTTCCAGCACATTATCCACTGAACTCCATTCTCACAAACCTTCCATTCTCACTCCTTTGTCTTGGTTTTCCTTGTACTCAATTAGCCTGAATCCACACAACAGACATACATGTACTTTCTCAGATTCACTACAGGTAAGCAAAACAATTAACTATGCTGAATGCTACAATATGGAAATAAAATAAAGATCATGTAGAAACGGTAGCATTCACACCTGAAAGCTATAAAAGCTCATATTACTCCGTACCCTTAGACATAACATTTTATGTAAACAATAAATGTTTTTTTCCTTTGTTTAAAAACCAAATAACCAACCGACAAAGCAAACATCATTAACTTGTTAGTTTGCTGGTGATTTTGAAGTGGGCATTAGCTGCTGGCTAAATGCAAAACGGTGCACTTTCATCGTAAAGCTTAACCACTATGAACCTTTTGTCTCTCTGGAAAAAAGCCAATCATTTGAGATAATGTCTACTACAAAATTTACACACTATAGCTGTAGACTCCTAAAAATACTAGTAACTGTAGTTTCAGTATATTTTTCACCATCCTGTCCCTTGGGCATAGACTATTTTCTGTTATACCTTCATTCTAAAAAATATCTTGTTTGTAAACATATCATTTTTGTTCACAAATGAAATGGCATTTATTTTTTTACACCTTGCCATCCACCAGGGCAGTTGGCTCCTAGTTAGAGGAAAAGGTGGCAGGCAGGCCCAGGTCTGGGGTAGAACCTTTCACTCAATGCATAGGCAGCTCATTTTCTCCAAGTGTTCTCTCTCCACACTCAGATTGTTGATGTTCGGTCAACGCCATCTACAAACAGACACATATAGGTAGAAATGAAATGGAAACCATTCCAGTGCAACATAAGAAGAATTGTGATTTAAATACATATTGTACTATATATGTTTAATTGTTTCCAATTGTGTTGAAACAAAAAATTATGCTTAAACAAAAACATTACTGCTTAATTATATTACAGCCTTGTATTCAAGGACTCTAAATTCTAATTCCTTTTACAGATCATAGGTTTTGAGTGTACATACTGTATATAATTATATAGGTAAAGTGAAGTATCATGCACTGCATTTCATTACCACGAAGATATTTCTACACGTTATTTTTCAGTTCCACTCAGTATCCATAATGAAGTGTCAATAGCAAATTATCTATAAGTACTGTGAAAATCTACCTTGGGAAAAGACACCTGGAGTTAAAACAGGCAGGAATTAGGGGAGAGTCTGGTAGGAATTGAGGATTTGTGAGGGTGGAGGCAATAATAGCACACTGCCGAGTCTGTTGGGAGCGGTCAAGGGCAGAAGTAGAGAAACAGCATCTGGTCTGGCATTCCTACACACACTGCAGCTCTGCTTATATCCCTCTGCTCTGCACTCCTGCTCAAGTAGCCATCACACAAAGCTGCACTTGTCCAGCACTGCACACTGAGAACTGAGAGACCCTGCATATCTTTCCTTGCCTGGCAAAGGGAAAGCTAATAATTCAAAGAAAAACTCACATAGGAACTCAAATATTTTGTTATTCTCGCTTTTTAATAAGTGGATTGTGTAGTTGCCTGCAATTTAAACATAAAAAATTTGTTACATTTGTTAGTTTTTCCAACAGGGTTGCTATAAAAACGTACAGTAAAACCTTGGATTGCGAGTAACTTGGTTTGCGAGTGTTTTGTACGATGAGCAAAATTTTTAAAATAAAGTTTAACTTGATAAACGAGCAAACCAAGTTGATCTCACTCATATAGTCAGAATTTACTAGAAAAGCAGCACCCGAATAAGGGCGTAGCAGTGCGAGCGATGAATCTGTGTAACGACAATGCAATGTCCAAATTTCCGCAAAATCGAAAAGGAGGCAAAAGTAGCTGTCATTGGATAGGTTCCTTGTTAAAGTCGCACAAAAAGAAAAAGATTCCAGTGAGCCAACAGATAGCAGTGACTCCATTAGTGAAAGTCGTCCTACAGAATAACCCTCCTCTTCTCTCTCGTCTCTCTCACACCATCCAAAATTCTTTTCAAAGGTAAAATGCAGGTTAATTTGTTTTATGTATTTTTACTTTATATTTTGTACTAATTTTTATATGAATATTTTTAGGTTGTGGAATGAATCATCTGAGTTTCCATTATTTCTAATGGGAAAATTTGCCTTGATATATGAGTGTTTTGGATTACAAGCACGTTTCCAAAATGAATTATGCTCACAATCCGAGGTTTTACTGTATATGTTTTTCTCATCTGAAATAATTGACTACTGACAGGGAAAAATCATTGAAATGCATTGTATTCACTAAGAATAATATGTCATTCAAAGAAACAAAGAGGAAACAAGAGACAACACAAACCACACCATTCGCTTATTGTTAAAGACTTTTAAACTTGAAGATACGTTAAGGTATTTTCTTTCTCTCATCAGATAGTAAGTTAGTGACCTATTAGTTATGAGCATTTCCAAACGGATGCTTACTCTGGTGCAGAAGTCGAATTCAAATATGGAGTCACAATAGTTTATGGATTTTACAGTATAAACACATTGAAAATGCAGCCATTCCATGTATTTGTTACATTTCACATCCATCTCAATTAATTAATTTGATTAGCATTAAAAAAATCAATAAGGTATTGATTAACCATCTGAGGAGGGGTAGTGGTACAGTAAAAAAATATATAAGGGTGCATTAAATGGCTACTGGGTTGACTTTAAGAGGGGTTAGATAGATACTTTATTGTCATTGTACCGAAGTACAATGACATTTCTTCTGTGCCAAGCCTGAATTAAAGTAATTTACACATGTACACACATTGACTGACATATCAGTTTTACATCAACATTTGCATCAATAGACTGTCTACAGTACAGTACTGTGTATTAAGCAACAAATAAGCCATAATATTGCACCATGCCTCCGAGGAAGTACGGTAAGTGAATATTAATATGATGTAATAATTACGGTGGCCCATAAGTGTCATCACACTGCAAATTCATAAAACACGTACAAATTCCGAAAATGCGTTGCAAATTCAGAAAAATTGACAAACGCAGTGTAAATCTTGAAAACACATGCAAAACAAAAAAACGCTGTAAATCTGCTCACAACACAATGGAAGTTTCCGGGGACAATGAAACGAGATATACCACATAGAGGAGAGGATGGACAGTATTCCCAAGACACAAAGTAGTGAGACCTACGTTATTTTGTTAGCTGATTATGACTATGTGTACAAGCAGTCAAGAATCGGTTTATTGAGAATAAAACAATTATGGTGATAACATATGTTTTTAATTACCTGATTACTGCGTGCAAATGGTTGGACCAATTCAGTTGCATGGTTCCAACTATGTAAGTTCGTTATGTGGTTAGCAATTATGCTTTTGGGAAATGCACCCCAGGTCTTTAAACTGTAGCCTATATGTGACCGCAACTGTATTGCCGTCACATTTAGATAAGGTTCTCATACAATTACATTAGCTGGTCTTATATTTACGTGAATAATGGTGTTGACAACGACTGTTCACTTTGTCATATACTAATGTTATAACCATAGTAAGTCAGCTAATAAAATAACACACTGACTTAATTTTTTTAAACATACTGACTTTTTAAATTGTTTGTAGCTGATCATTTCATAGAACACTGTAACACATTCAGAGGATGAACGTTAACATTGAGAACGTCTTACCAGTTAAGTCTCGGATTGACTATAAAATACTGCTAAGAAGCACTGAATGGCCTTGCACCAGAATACCTTAGTGATCTGCTGACCTCATATAGGTACAACCCTCCGCGCTTGCTTTGTTCTCAAGGCGCAGGATATCTGTTAATACCTAGGGTAAAAAGAGCTACGGCAGACTGCAGAGCTTTCTCCTATAGTGTTCCTCAGCTGTGGAATGGTCTTCCAATGGATGTGCGGGTTTCAGGCTCACTCTCAATATTCAAGTCTAGACTAAAAACACACCTGTTTAGTTTAGCTTATAGGGACACTAGTTCTAGCTCTAGCTAACTCCTCACTCCCAGTCAAACCTACAGTGTGAGGTGTAGAGCTGGGTGGGGATCGGTGCCATTGGCTTTGGATAAACTGAACTGTCAGCGCTGTAACTCTAGCTTCACAATCCCTTGTGGATTTGGAGTGCTGACATTTCAGGGACTCCCCATGCCTGCATTCCCACTTGCCTCTACCTCCTACCTATGCTGCCATAGCCATATCTCCTGGAGCTTGCACATTGCACTTCATATTGCACTCACCTAACTGTTAGCACTGCCTATAGTCTCCCCTACTTTGACTAATTGCACATTTTATCTCCCCTGCTCCTCCTGGGGTGTGCTGCCTGGAGACCTCAATCTATCAAGATATCCAGCACACTCTGCTACATGTGATGTTGCCACTACCCATGACGTCCTTGCATCCAGCTCGCTGTTCTGCCTGTGTTATCTTCCATGTATGACCCACTGCCTTACTTCTGGTTGCCTGGCGATTGGAAGGAGCGTCGGCACCGGCATGTCATCTCCCCCCAATCCCCGGTTGTATCTCAAATTTTATGATTTGGACAGTATGACTCGGCACTTAGCCATCTCTCCTATTTGACTCTCCCTGCCGGACCCTGGAGGACAGGCTCCCCCTTTGAGTCTGGTCCCTCCCAAGGTTTCTTCCTTCTTTTCCTTGCCACTGTCACCTATGGCTTACTCACTGGGGGCATTGGGTGAGGATGCTGTAAAGTGCTTTGAGACAATGTAATGTTGTGATAATGCGCAATACAAAAATAAATTTGTTGTTGTTGGTTACAAGAGGATTACAAGGAGCAAATCTTAATAGCTTTTGGACTTCTCAAATGCACTAAAATGGCAAAATGTAAATTATTTTTTGGTCAAAGCAAAAATACATGAGACGTAGCAGGTCTGCGCTTCCTACAGAATTGAAAACATAATTAGGTATAATATTCCAGATGGATAATGGCTTCTTCAGAAAAGGCAGAATACCTCTCGACACGGATTTTACCCCCTTTATACGTCTCCACGTGGTATCTAAGCGGAACTAACAGTTATGGGCGTGTCCAAATCAATTTCAGTATTTTAATGGGAGAAAAACCTAACTCTCTTAATTATTAAGATTCATGTTTTGGAAGTAGTATGCAATGAGCCAATAGGAATGGTGCGTCACCTCACCTTTAAAAGGCAGTGACAAGTGATCGATGTACTGCGATTGCTATTACAATGTCGCATTTGACTGGTAAGCCAAATCACTTTCTGCCAGAGGAAACGGACGTGCTTGTGCGTGAGGTGAAAAGGCGTGAGGTAGCAGTGAGTGTGTCCTCGTTTTCTGGCGTTTAATATAAAATATCAAAAACCTTTAGTGCACTTTGAGCGTGTATCTGTATTAATAACAAGCATCGTGCACCCACACATTTCTAAAACGTGCCACTTAAATACCGTTCACCAATGTGCCACAAATTGCAGACGACACCAAGGTGGGCGGTGTAGCAGATACTGATCTAGCAGCAGAGAGGCTTCAACGGGATCTGGATTTAATTAGCAAATGGGCTGATACTTGGCAGATGAAATTTAACACAGATAAATGTAAGG